CAAATCCCAACATGAATTGCTAAAATTGATCAGAATAAAAACTGTTTTTTTATTGAATATATCTGTCCTTTAAGTTCGATGTCTCATTCCTCATAGTTGTATTCTTTATTAGTGATTAACTTGCATAAAAGTATGATACTAGAATGCATAAATTTGTGGATGCTTGGTATTAAGCATAAAAAAGTTCACATTGATATGTGACTTATCTTGGTAAGGTGACTATGCAGAGATATTATTGATGGGTGAATTATTAATATATTTTTGGATATTGGACTATGGTAATAGTTATCATTAGCTATCTCTGCTAAATAATGTCAAGAAATATAAAAATAACAGAGTTTAATTTAAGTGATTGAGATTATACATAATTTTCAATACATAATTTTTATTTAGTTGTGTTAATCATTAAAGTTGAACTCTTAAAAATATAGATTTGTATTACATATCTCTAGTTTACTTTAATAGTTAATAACAATAGATTGAAATAATTGTCTAACAAATTATCATATGTCTTTCTTGAATAACTGATATAATGGGAAAGTCAACTTCATAATGGATGAATTTTTAAATTTTGAGTTTGCACTTACTTTTTAATAATTCAAATAATTTTTTGGTAATGTTGGCTAGTTCTTCTTTTGCACTACTTTGTCGAATTTATTACTATTGCATGTTAAATTTTTTGTTGAATGCCATGCACCTTTGCTTCAAATTGCTTGGCTATTTAATTTAGATATAAATGCGTAGGTTAGGTCAATATAGTTAGATAAAAGTTTTTTTCAATAAGCACAGTAAACAAGACTTCTGAGATATCTGTTATTCAACTAGTGTATTATATATTATTAAATTTTTTTAAAATGAAATGGTTCTGTAATAAAGAATAACACTATGTATTAAAGCTTTTACAAGTTTTGGGGTGGTCAAAAAAAAGAAAGTTGAATAAGCTAATTCAAATCTTTAAAAATTTTTTTATATATATGTATTCGATGGTAGTACAAATCTAAAAGCATAATGAAATCTGTGTAATATAACTTTAAAGTTAATACTATAATATAGTTAATACCAGTGCTAAACTGGTATTTTAGAGATAGACTTTCATTAAATTAACCAATCATATTATTTTAATTATATTACATATTAGATGTTAGTTAACTTGTGATATTGCATAAATATATGATGCACAATTGTCCTGAATCAGGCTGTAATAGATACTTTAATCATTGTTCTTCTGTGCACAATCATTTAAAAATCCATAATAATACAATTGGAGACCTTCTTCAAGAAATTGTTATAACAAAAGACAGTAATAACATATTAAGGAAGGAACAATTTATTCAATAGGAAGATGAAATTAATAACTAATAGAATGATAACTAGCTAGATGAAATAGATAGATTTTTATTTAATAATAGCAAAGATATTAAACCAGAAATAGAAAACAATATAATAGATGAAATAACAAATAGGTTAGAATTTAGTTATAGTGAAGAAATAAATATTGAAAATAATGAAATGAATTATGAAATAGATAAAGGTATTGAAGTAGATGAAATAGAAGAAACAAACAGACTAGAAATTAGTTATAGTAAAGAAATAAACAATAAAACTAATGAAATAGATAAAATAGATAAAGCAAATAATGATGATATGGGGTGTGGTAACCTAGTGAAGTGGATAGGTTGTCAACCCCCAAGTGGCAGGTCTAGAGTTCAAATCCCAGTGACAG